AAGTTGGCTGTGAGGCGCAATCTATTGTCAGGTACTGTGCAGATCGTAACATTGACATCATCCGCTGTTCAATTGCCACAAATCGTTATTTCGGCACAGCATACGCAAAAGTTACCATTCCGGCTGATGTCATCAACACCGTACTCACGCCTGCGTTTTGGCCTGCCACCATCGGCCACACAGTCAGAAAGTGGCGCTTCCATGACGAGGCGTCCATGCCGACGAAGGAACAAAGTACTGAAGATTAACCATGGCTAGTAGTAGTAAAATGAACCCAGGCGCAACCCCGTTCTACCCTGGATGTATACGGACACTGTCCCTGAATATTTGCAGTCTACGTAATAAACTTACTGACTTGTCCCAATTGATATCGGACACAAAAACTGACATTGCTGCTGTTTGTGAAACGTGGCTTAACAACTCCGTTCCGTCGATGGAGATGTCAATCGCAAACTATACTTTATTTCGGCTTGACAGGCGCGACAAACCCGGAGGTGGTGTATGTTTGTATGTTAATAACTCACTGTTTAGTCACCTACGTCCCGACTTAACAGCCGATGGCGTTGAATGCATTTGGGTAGAGATCAAAGCTCACCCACAACCTCTTCTTGTCGGGTGTATTTACCGCCCACCGAGTCAGTCACTAGCTTACTGGCAGACTTTCGAGGCCATGTTACACAAGGCATCGGGAGAAGCCAAGAATATTCTGCTTTGTGGTGACTTTAATGTTGATCTGGTCAGTCAATCTCCCACATCCCAGCATGCTTCCTTGCATGACATCACAACCAGCTTAGGCCTGCATCAACTTGTAAAATCTCCAACACGCATAACGCTGCAAGGGAGCTGCACTCTATTAGATCATGTCTATAGTACAGCTCAAATCATATCCCCGCCTGATGTGTGTCCAGTTCCGTTCAGCGACCACTGTGCTATTGCAACCAAGATTTGTGTTAAACCAGTGCCGACAGCATTGCCTTCTCAGCGACTTTATCGAAACTTCAAGAGAATGGACTTGGCATCACTTCGTATGGATATATCTTGCGCCAACCTCTGTGAACTTCGTGGGTCCTGCGATGACATGTGGCAACAGTGGCTGACTAAGGTTGTGCCCATTCTTGATGCACATGCTCCATTGCGCCACGCGTCTTCCCGACCAAGACAGCATTCACCATGGGTCAATGAACATTTGTTCCTGTTGATACGACGACGTAACCACGCTCATCGGAAATGGCTGCAATCTAAGTGCCAGACTGATTACGATGCGTTTAAAGAAGCCAGGCGTATCGTGACTCGTATGAACCGTGAATTGAAGACGAATTTTTTTCAGTCTAAGTTCACCAGTGTTCAAGGTAATCCCAGGAAAACGTGGAAGGTTTTGAACGAGTTATCCGGAAGACAACGTGTTCAATCCGTTCCACAATGCTCTGCAAGCAACATTGGGTGTGTATTTGCTGATGTTGTCAGTGATCAACAACGAGCACCTGAACTGAGTCTTCCACAGGGCCCAGTGGGACCTAAAGGTTTTACATCCTTCAGTTCGGTGTCAATAGGTTGTGTGCGTAAACTGTTGGGTTCCTTGGACACCAGCAAAGCGACAGGCAGTGATGGAATACCCGCATTTCTTCTGAAGTCCTGCGCTGATTTGCTAGCTCCCTCCTTAACATTGATATTTAATGCATCTCTTGCTGTTGGTTCTGTGCCGGACGGCATGAAGTTAGCACATGTCACGCCGGTATTCAAGGCTGGAAATCCTCAAGATCCGGGAAATTATCGCCCTGTGTCTCTCCTGCCAATTGTGTCGAAGCTGTTAGAACGAATTGTCCATAGACAACTATCCTCATTTCTGGACAAGGAGAATTTGTACCCTCCCTGTCAGTTTGGCTTTAGACGTCAACATTCAACGGAAGACGCTCTAGTTTTCGTCACGGACACGTTTGTTCGCGCTCGCGATGCCGGACAAATTACTGGTGCTGTGCTCGTGGATATGTCCAAAGCATTTGACAAGGTCAGGCACCAAGTGCTCATTAATGATTTGTTTGAGCTTGGCATATCTGGTTCAGCATTAGTTTGGTTTGCCGACTATTTGTCCAATCGTCGCCAAATAGTGCACATTGCTGAGAACTATAGCCCTCCTTTCCCCTGCATGTGTGGCGTTCCCCAGGGCTCTGTTCTTGGTCCGCTGCTTTTTGTACTCTATGTTCGTTCGATCCAGTCCATTGTCTCCGAGTTTTGTGTGAAAGTTATTCAATTTGCTGACGATATTCTATTGTATGTTTGCGGTACGCAGAAGAATGCGCTTAGCAACTCCCTGTCTGCAGCTGTCTCAGCCATTAGTACCTGGCTGTCAAACCGCAATTTAATTCTAAATGCTCGGAAGACACAAGTGCTCTTCCTGTCTACGCCACATATTACTGACCACCAATTTGCAGTCTACTGCCATGGAGTGCAGCTCAAGCAAGTGACATGTGCAAAGTACCTTGGAATACATTTGGACCAGGATCTTTCTTGGAGCACTCAAGTTGATTCTATGGTCTCCAAACTAGCCAGTAAAATTGGTATTCTGTTCCGAAATCGACACAATATTCCGCTGACTTGCCGAGAAACCTTCGTAAAGTGCCTAGTGTTGCCAGATTTTCTATATGCATCAAATTGTTTTTCTGCTGGCCTTTCCTTAACCCAGTTAGGTAGGCTTGAACGAATGCTAAAGCGAGCTTTGCGTTCAGTGTACGATACTGGTTTTTGTAGCCCATCAAGCCCTTTATTTGCGAGACTTGGTCTAGATCGTTTGGCAACCATGTATTGCAAGAAATTACTGTATCTGACGTGGCGCTGTTTGGAAGGCCGCTGTAGTGTCACATTAAGTCAAATGTTCGAGCGTTTAAATAATGGTCTTGCAACGCGCAGCCTTGTATCACGCACTCTTAAGTTGCCCATGCTCAGAACTGCCTTTGCCCGTCATGGCGCTTCCTTCCAATGTGCTAAGCTGTGGAATGATTTGCACCCTCTAGCTCGCTGTGTGGATAACTCCGCCCGTTTTAAGAAACTGTTACCCCAATGCCTTGCTTTTTCACGCTAGTAATTATGACTTTCAGCTATGCAAAATGCGAACATGATCACCTATCCAATACCGGTAGTCTATTATTATATTAATTATTCATATCTTTTTGCATCTTTCCCTCGAGTGGGTCTATTGTTATTAGGCAATTGTCTGTTATAGTCACCACTATAAATAAAAATCCAATCCAATCCAATCCAATCCAGATGGGTTAAGTCCACCCCGGAAATCTCGCAGAGCACCTGCTTACCGGAAATCCGGATTCCTGCGTCCAGTATCTTTTCCCGCTCAGCAGAACTCTTCACTGTAACTACGCAATGTCCAGGCTTGCCCTGAAGGTCCACCTGGCAGACCTGACTTATATCTACCTTACTCTGCTTGAGCGCCTTGGCGTAAAACAAGTGGTCTGCAGACCAGTCCTTCTCAATCCTAAAAGAAAAGGAGGCCGGAGCAGGAGCTCCAAAACTGCCAACCATCTCCATCGTACTCAAGATATGGCGCAGTGACATCCCGTAGCACTGCCGTTCGACCAGGTTCGTCTTCATCTCAGGTCCGCATTGCTCCAAGATTACCTGCTTTGCCATTGCTTGCAGCACCGGGGACATTTTTCCTATATCGGCGCTATACTTGGTGTCCACCTCGCCATCTTCTGTCATAGCGAGTGTGGCCCACACCTCTACCTCTCGGCAAACACGGACAACGTATTGATGAAACGACTCATCTGACCGCTGCTTGCCTGTCAGCAATGTCTTCCACGCTTTATCCGGAGTCTTTCCGAGCGAGGCAAGCAACTCTCGTTTTGCTTCCTCGTAATTATTGCATCCAATACATATCCTCTCCGCTTTGCTACCCGCTAGCGCGATGCGCAGTCGCAGCAGCCATTCGCTTTCTTCGAACTCGTTCTTGAAACAGATGTCCTCGAACAGGTCAAGATAACGCTCCAATGGCTGCGTTCCATCATATGAGGGGATTTTCATCACCGGTTGACGCCCACCGCTGTGACTGGGAGATTCCTCTGAACCTCTCATCGTGGCTTTACCCTCACCCTCCTGCGCATTGGCGATGCGCTCGTTAATCTCCTTGAGTGTTTTGGCAAACTCGGTGCGGAGCGCCTCCTCTCGCCGTCTGGCACTGCGCTCCTCACGCTCCGCGTACTGTTGGAGCCTCTGCTCCACATGTACCTTCAACAACTCGCCTTCTAATCCTAACCGCTCTCCATTGTCGATAAAGCTGGCTTCCAAATTGTTCCAAAGTTCCTCTGCCATGCTCGCTCCTATCCTGGCGTGGTCGCCAAATGTTGTGAACCCTGCAAGATTCTCTAAATTGTCAGGATCGTACGACCACACGGCACGAGGACAACTCTTTTCCTTTACACAGTATATTTCACTTCATCTGATAATTAACAATGAACACTAATAACACCAGCTATTTATAGCATGCAAAAACAGCGTACATGCAAAACATAAGCATATAAAACTGGACATAACAGCGTATACAGCAAAACGCACACAACGCATATAGCGTATGCCATGCAGCAACATCAGCGGTACGGCGGAGTCGAAATACAACATTTCAACGAATGCAAGGCCATAAGCGCGAAGGCCTTTCCCAATTGAGAACTGGTGGTTTACAACAATTATTGAAAAAGGGAAATGTGCACAGTATGTGAATTTTTCTATCGTAGACCCAATCGTTGCATGCTGTTGGTGATTTATTGTACTTTGTTGATTTCTGTCTTGTTGATCTTATGTAAACAGTGCTGACTATAACGTGAGACCATCTGTGGAAAGATTGACGAAAACCGCTAGCAACCCTAAAGGAGAACAATCTTATGTGATGTGCAGTGTTTCTTAGACATGAATGAGTAACCACAATGTGACCTTTCTGACCATCATGTCCTGGGTGATGTACAATGTGATGTTTTGTGATGATTCTGTCTGAGCAGGTCCACCAAGCGCACCAGAGGACCTGTTGGTGGTCCGCCAAAGCTCAGCTTCAGTGACAATCCATATCAAGGTAAGAATATTTTCACCGCAATTATTGATACATGATTATAATATAGCGCGATGCTCGTAGGTGCGAATAGGGGTTTCTGTGCTGTACGGAAAACTAGAGGAGATATGTTGTACTCTTGGTGCTCGGGGATTCATCGTTGTCTCGCTCATGTTGTCCGCTCTAGTTGCAATGGCTGGCAGTTGCATGGATGTGGACTGATCAGCTGCAATAGTTAACTCAATAGGTTGATATGGGCATGCAACAGCAAGCAGACTGGGACTTCTATAGCATCTCTAAGTCTCACAACATCTTGTGTCCATCAGACTATGCAACCGGAATTATGAAGAGCGGCAGTTCTGTTGCTATTCTGCGCTTTGCCTCGCATGACCATCAGGCACTGCAACTGTGATCGCGAATTCTGGTGAAACGCAGAGTTGCTACTGAACCTCCACGTTCATGCCTGGCTGTAGTGGAAAAATGTTTGGCAAAGAACATGGCACACTCTTTTTTAATCATCACAAAAGGCTGTGAACGTTGACGCTGTGTAAACATGCATGGTTGAATTAATCTTAATTTGCCTTTAGTGTTATCTGAAACTCAGATGTTGAGACAATAACATATGATAGAGAAAGGATAGAAAAAAAAGGAACATATGGTTACGAGTTCAGAGTAACTGTCCACCACTGTAACTAAATACCATTATACAGTCAGAAAGTGCAACAACTAGGCACAAAACGGACAGAGTACTGAGACATTCGACGACCTGACACACCTAGCTCCAACACAGCTCCCTCCTTAACCTAGAGCGTTCCGAGTTGGAAGGCTGTTGGTTGGCGCTTCGGAGATGTTCCAGAGCTAGGTGTCAGGTCGTCGAATATCTCAGTACTCTTGACAGTTTTCTGCCTAGGTGTTGCACTTTCTGACTGTATATAGTTTCTAGTTACAGTGGTGGACAGTTACTTCTAACTCGTTTCCATATGTCCTTTTTCATTTCTACATTCATGTTATTGCAATTAGTTAGTCCATCACTGTCACAAATAAGTACAGTATTGTAGGATACTGGAGCTCGTATTGTAGGATACTGGCGATCTCTGCTGAACAGACCTGAAGCAGTAAAAATGACTTTCTATGCCGAGATTTAGTGTTATTTTGTTTTGACAATGCCCCGGCCCATGAGGAAAACGTAATGAAAGAAATCAAGCTAGGAAGGACATGGACTGAGTTTTAAAACGCCAGGTCGGCAGGACATTTTCCTAGCGTAGAGGATGGAGCAATTATGCTGCTTAACGAAGTAATAGATCAAAGATTGAGTGGATATAACTGAAGTTTACACAGAGGGCTGTAACTCAATCACAGCCATTCCATTCTCAGGGACACAGAACACCAAGGACAATACTTGGTTGTTACATTATCGTAATTGACATTACGGAAACCAGGGACTACGAAATGACGGAAAAGCAGACTACACTCAAAGAGACGAACAAGAAGACTGACAAAAGGACTCTCGACTACAAGATCGCGCATGCTCATGTCAGACATGCACGCGACTAGACGGAGACAGGTTGGGGAATGCCATCACGCAGGAAAACAACATAATCATTAAACAACAGAATTTGATTTCGGCTTCAGGAGATAGCACAGAAGAGAATTGGTTCTTGCGGGAGCCTCCTAGTTTCGCTCTACACGAGTATCCTAGAATATTCTGCAGATCTGTTTGTATTGATTGCAACAAGTTGATATCAACCATACACTACAAATATTGACCCTTTCATCCTCTGCAAGAAAATGCTTTGGTCCCAGGGCATTATTGACTACTATAGAGCGATAAACTTTCTCGCCGTGCAAATTTTGCTTTTTCAAGGTTTGCGCTGGTTCCCGATGAGAACTTTTTTCGCCTAATCAGTGGGATCTTGTATTGTCTACAATCAAGGTGCAGAGCAGTTTGTGGCGATTTATATTTGCGGATGTGTGATTGTCGCAAAATAGCACAGTTTCATCTCTAGTGAACGTTTCTCAATCTACAGTGTGCTGGTTAATTTATTATTTCTCTATGCTGAGGATTGTTTGTGAAATTATACAAAGTATGACGAGTTTGCAATAGAGCAATGCCAATCAATGTTTTTCAAGTGATAAGTAGCTGAGATTGTAAAAGACTTTTTCTGTTTGCATCCTTCCCTTAAAAATTAGCCTGTACACATTTTTTTGCACCTGTTTGCTTCCTGTGTCCTGTGTGGTGTTTACAGGCTCCAAAGCAAGAGGAGCAAGTACGGGAATATTTTGTCTCCTACAACAGTGTGGAATGCTGTAATACCAACCGATGGCTTTGCAGCAGGCCTAGAGTTGCCGACTGCTCTCTAATAAGCTACCTCTACTGGCAATGTAAGTACTGGGGTACTCCTATGCAGTGTCTGCTCCAGGATTTCCAATTAGCTAGATACACGTGCACCTAGCACACAGCCTCCAGTGTAGGGCCTAGCCGGGTTCAATGTGATGGTGCAATTTCACTTAGACTACTGGTATTTGTGAAATTAATTATTCTTCATGCTATTTAACATCGGAGCATCCCCATTTGTTCCATCTCTGAGATATGATCGTTCAAAATGGCTCGGCGCACAGAATGCGCTTCAGCCAGGAATGAGAAAGGGAATGAAGATCCTGACGACAGAGAGTAGGCCAGATTCACTGAGCCTGCCTTCAAACACCGATGTAAGACAGTCCATCAAGGAAGCCGCGATTCCACGGATGCAATAAATTTCGCGATTTTGGCCCAAACCCGCGATTTTCTGCAAAATCTGCCATTTTCCTCGTTTTGTTTCGGCACCTTTCTTGCAATTTCATTCACTTTTCATGCAGTCCTTTCCATGATCATGTAGGTGTTATTTGCACAGCCTGGCATACTACTCCCGAGTAGACATACGGCGCAAATTTCCTGATTTGGCCCAATCAGCAATTTTCTGCAAATAATTCCACGAATTCCTGGCAAGTTCCACAATTGTCGCCGCTTTTTCGTTGCAGTTTTCTGCCGCAATTTCTTGCGCAAGTTTTCGAAAAATTTCCGCAAATCCCCGCTGGGACAGATGAGAACTAAACGCATAGCGTCTATCATGACTTGTTAAATGTCCGCATGTCTCTGTTGTATTTCCAAACTCTTCTTGATAAAGTGAGATCAGCCACATGATTCCAAACGCCGGCAAGGCCAGCTGTGCAGGTACATACAGTAATCTTCACCTTGCCAGTTTTCTGTAAGGATACATTTGTTTTGGTTAGTATGGTCTTCTTCATTGAAGGTACACCGTTGCAACGAATGAACATGGCATCACTACTTCCTTTGCCAGCTTGATGGTCTGACATACTGTAAAACGGGAAAGTCTAACGAGATACAAAGTCTAATGTTTTAACCACCAATTTGAATGACGCTTCAATTTTGTTTCGTTATTTGAAAAAAAACGTTATCGCTAGAAGTCTGCGTAAAGATGCGCATGCAGATCGGTGGCCATCGTTAAAATTACTGCACGTAATCATGTCAACATTACAAAAACGTTTTAAAAACATTTTGGTCATTAGACTTTCCGGTTTTACTGAATTCAGATTCGAAAAATGTTGTAGCCCTTGTCTATGCCCTTGAACGAAGAGAATACATCAGGGTCAGAAGCATAACCCTCGTCAGTGCTAGCAGAACACAAGCAACTCGTGCATAGCATAAACAATGATAGATGTTTCCACGACATGCTAGTACATGGATGGAAACCGAACGTTTGGCAGTTTCTCCAATGATGCCGTCCACCGACTCTCTGGGAACACAACACTAACTTGTACACCTACGTCCAAACTTGGTCCAGCCCACTCCTGACTCCTGACATTTCCTCTCTAAACTTGCGCTGCTGCCACGATCGATCAACGCTATCAGCTATCAGTGTCACTGGCCAATTAGCCTATCACGCTATAGTGGATGAGACCCTAAACATACGGAAGAGTCTCCACCCAACTCAGATGCATGGGAACATTTTGTCGCTTCGGAGAAATAGTCGGAGCTAAAAATCCCGCGCCCTGCGAATTCCATTCAGAACAAGCGCATAGATTTGGCTAGGCCACCCAACCGGGTAAACGTATGTGCTGCAACCCATGGTGCACGTCTCTCTTTAGAAACGCATGACCTAATATGCATAGGGACTATAACTAGCCAAAGATAAATTCTGGACTATGTTAAACAAATTAGAAAATTGTTGTGCACCATTTTACAAAGGACTATACTACGGTAATAACTGGAGCATAAGCCACACTTTAGATACCAGGTATTCACCCAAGAAAAGTCACTGCGGCTTATATTACGATGGTCAAATTAGCGTTGATGAATGTGGTAAATGTAAAATGGTTGGTGAATGGGGAGGGGTATTTCGTGACAGTCTTGTTGCGGCATATCCTCCAAAGTGACTTATACTGAGTGAAATACAGGGTTATATTGAAAATTGTTTGGCTACACTATTTTCACTGAAGCTTGTTGCTGGTCTGTGTGCACTTCCAGATTTTATTACTGGTTCGAAGAATTGAACAGAATTAAACACGCGCCCATATCCAACAATGAAGTAGCAAATGTTTTGTACCATAACGTTTGTTGTTTGCCATGAGCAGCGCGAGTTTATTTGTGTTCATTGCTAGGTTTAAAGAATGGGTAGAACTTCAAATTCAAAGGATCAATCGGGGAAGCAAACTGCCTGAAAAGAGAAGAAGAGAAGGCCAGACCCACCAGGACTCGAAACCGGGACCTTGCTTGTCTTAAAAAAATAATCACTTTCTTTCACCTCTGGTGTAACGTTCTAGAAACTGACCTTGGAACTTCCCCTGGGGGAGGGAAAAAGACACAAGTGCCATATCAGTATGTGTGGTACGTGTTGTGAGCTGCCTCTTGGAGTGGACAACTTGTCCTCGCCTTCCGCATTCGTTTTGCTCTCATGGATCAGTTGGCGAGAGCATTGCTCATGACAAGCTAGGTCCCGGGTTCGACTCCTGGCAGGTCCGGCATTTCTTCTCCTTTCGTGACTATTTTTGGTTATTATCTCCACGTAGAATATTCAAAGAACGAGTGTGGCTTTTTTCCCCTCCATAGATGATGCCATTATGAGGTTATGGCTGTCATACGACTGCATAAGGACTGAACCAATGAGGTCATGATGTCATCATGCCTGCTTAATGTTCCATTGTGTGCGCCATGTAGAATGATGTCATAATGAGGTTGGTCGTTCTACATGAGCAGGAGATTTGAATCCTGATGAGGTCATTATGATGTCATTCTTACTTCATGCTCTCTTTGTTTTTTGCTCTGTGTTCTGCCCTGTGAAGATGTGAACGAGAGCAGTCTACCTGTGATTGTGATTGACTTCTGTGCGGGACAGACGTACTCTGTTTTGATCCGCGCAATAAACGACAAAGGTTCCGGACCCTACTCGTATACGATGATTAGCGCCAATGGCAGCAGGTCTGATGATGGGACCTCGTCCAGTCATTCCAGCACCTCAAGCCCAAAGGAGACCTCATCCAGTCCATCCAGCCCCTCCAACGAAACGGAGACCTCGTCCAGTCCATCCAGCCCCTCGAACACAACGAAGACCTCATCCAGTCCATCCAGCCCCTCGAACACAACGGTGAAACCGCGAATTATCCTAGGTAGAGTAGTTTATGATGATATTGTACATTTTTCTAATCACTCACAGACCCCAGTACAGCCGTTTACACATTACACATTAGGATACCTGAACATAAACAATCAAAATATGGTCTCTTTGCTGCATACGTCATAAACCTTTCAACAAATGTTCGGACATGGCCCATTCTCAGGCTGGAAACAGAGAAAAAATATTGCATATAACCAGTAATTACTGTGACATGAGACCATGTGTGGAAAGTCTGAAGAAAACCGCTAGCAACCCGAAAGGAGAATTATGCTTGTGTAAGGTTCAGTGGTTCTCACACACCGATAAATAACCCCGGATCTGCTCACCTTTCCGTGACCCTTGAAGTTGAAGTTCACCCTAAAATAAAACTTCACAACTCAGAGCGACAAATGCACCGTTTCCAATAGTGACAGTCCCCGGTTGATCAGAGCAGCCGTGCCCAAGTTATACCAGCTTGAAGTTTGCACTAAATTAGGTGACATGATGATGGTGTCGTTAACTTGCCCAGACTAGGCCGGGTTTATGACGTCAGAGAGATACTTTGTATGGGAGTAGATGGGGAAAAACCAATTTACTTCCTGTTTCTCTGCAACGATGAATTTCATACTAGAAATGTTTTCCAGTCGGGATACTGGTAGAGCGCCACTTCTTTGTGACAATGGAGAGCCAAAATACTGAATTTTCCCCATCTACTCCCATACTATGTCCATCTCTCTGATGTCATAAGTCTGGTCTGGGCAAGTTAATGATGTCACCATGCCACCAAATTTAGTGGAAACTTCAAGCTGGTATAAGTCGGGAACGGCTGCTCCGATCAACCTCGAACCTCCACGGAACCACCATTGAAATCAGTGAATTATCCATACAGGTTGTGAAGTTTTCACTTTAGGGTGAATTTCCCCTTTAATTCATCTGCTAACTTTGTATGGTATAGTCCTTTGGCGTCTCCGCCCCTTGACTGGAAAACACTTGTTGATGAATTTGACGTTTCTGACCATCAGGCCCTGTTCGATGTGCAATGTGCTATTTTGTGATGATGCTGTCTGAGCAGATCCACCAAGCCCACTGAAGGAGGTCCACTTTGTCCGCCTGAGCTCAGCTTTAGCGGCAATCAATGTCAAGGTGGGAATATTTCGATGACATTCTTCTTTCATGACCATGGTATAGTGTGATCTTCGTAGGTGTGCTTAGGGGTGTCTGTGCTACAAGTAGAGGAATTATGTTGCACTCTCTGGTCCGCTACTTTTGCTCGACATTCGTAATCTGGAATATTCTGCAGACGCCAGTGTATGGATTGTGATAACTATGATAGTATCAACCCTATACTAACGTATTGGCCTATCCATCCTCTGTAAGCAAATGTTTTGTTCCCAGCGAATTTTTGACTGTGAGGGATACTTTACTACTTTTCTATGCTGCGGATTGTTCATGCAACTACACAAAGTAAGAACAGTTTGCAATCAACCAACGTCAAAATTCGAATGTCCACCATGGTTGAAAGTAATGAGCAGATCAGCTTGTAGAAGTATTTTCCTGGTTTCACCTTTCCCTCAAATGAATTAGCTTGTAAAAATTTAGATTTGGCAGGACTGAGCCAAGGATAAATGCATAATAAGGAAAGAGGACCAAAGAGCTACAAGTTAAAAGCTAGAATATCGACATATATTTTGCATATTTTACTTCCTGTGTCCTGTATGGTGTTTACAGGCTCCAAAGCCAGAAGACCGAGTAGCGGAAATTTATATCTTCTACCACAGTGTGGAATGCAGGGGTGCCAAACGATGGAATTGCAGCAGACATGCAGTTACCAGTTGCTCCCTACAGGGCTTCCACTACTGGAGATGTAAGTGCCGAGGTACCCATATGCAGTGTCTGCTCTAGGATTTCCAACCACCTAGGTACACATGCACCGGGAAAACAGGAAACTCCGAGTTATACTGACAACATTGGTTAGCTAAGCGCGGAAAAATCTTGTGGATGCCAGGAATCCAGTTCACCGGTTCGTCACGGACATATCTTGGTCGACATGCACCGCGGATTGAGAAAAAATGACCAAGATGGCTTGGTGGAAGGACATCTTCTTCGTGTGTCTTTCACAGCATTAACCAACAAGATTCTCTTCCGCACTGGCCCTTTGCTGTACAGACTAGACCAGTATATTACACTCACCAACATTCACCTTGCCAGTTTTCTATAAGTATACTTTCGTTTTGGTCGATGTGGTTTTCTTCATTGAAAGTAGTATTGCAATGAAAGAACACGATATCACTACTTCCCTACTGCCAGCTCGATCGTTTGACATGTCCAGGTTCGAAAAAGGTGTAGCCCTTGTCTATGTCCTTGAAAATAGAGAATACGTCACGGTCAGAAGTGTACTCCTCGTCAGAGCTCCTAAATAGCGTCCTATGGAAACGCGACTTCGTGTCTCAAGAGCACAAACACCTCCTCTCTCTGATAAAACAATACAATCGATGTGATATTCTAGATTTTGACCTGGCCACGCCGAAAAGCACGTCTGCCATCGGAAGTATAGAAACTTGTTTCCAGAGAATCAGTGTCTGGGTGCGAGGGAGTCAAGTCACTACTATACTCCATTGTATCCACCATGGATAATAATGTCATTGCAGAGGTCTAGCAAGACGATATTCCCATTCTTGTTCGCACTCCAGGAAAGTGGAACACGGTGACGGAATATTTCGTTATGTGAAGGATTAGCAAACAGACTTCTCACATGCATGACGTTAGCACGTCGCACATGATTGTATATGATTGTGTACAGACAGTAGAGAGTCGTAAATTTATACTCCTGACACGAATCCGAGATTCGTGTTTCAACTACTTTTCCGAACGATGATGTCGAAAGTTCGCAATCGAACCTAAAAATGTTTGCGAACTGGAACGCAAGATTCGTGATGCTAGACCTCCGCATTAAGAAGTCATGGGTTCTACAGCAACAGAATCATTCAAACCTTATGTGGTCATTTTTTATGATGTCATGCTCACTCCATGCTCTCTTTGTCATGTGCTCTGTGTTCTGCCCTGTTAAGATGTGAATGAGAGCAGCAGTCTACCTGTGGTTGTTAGTCGCCTCTGTCCGGGACAAGCGTACGATATTTATATCACCGCAATAAACGAACAGTTCACCTTTGGACCGGGCTGGTGGCTTTACGTCCATGGAAATGTTGATGGGATCAGGCCCAGTCCATCCAGCCCCTCAAACACAGCGGAGACCTCATCCCTTCCACCCAGTCCCTCGCACCCAACAGAGAATCCGCTAACAACCCAAGGTGGAGTAGTTTCTGATGAGATTGTACATTTTTCTAATCACTCACAGACCCAGTACAGCCGTTTACACATTACACATTAAGATACCTGAACACAAACAATCAAAATAATTATGGTCTCTTTGCTGCATACGTCATCAACCTTTAACAAATATTCAGGCATGGCCCATTCTTAGGCTGGAAATATAGATACAACAAACTTTCCTGTATGGGCCAAGCCCGAAAATTTGATGACGTAGGCAGGAAAAATACCACATTTTGAGTGTTTGCGTTGAGGTATCCTAATGGGTAATGAGATTGAACATGTCAAATGTTTCCATATGCAATCGTGGGAAAACAAATCCGATCCCCTATCAAAAGTGTGGTCAAGTTTCTTTTCAATTTCATAATACACAATCACAATACCCATGCGAGGACCTAAGGGGGCACATGAGCCTTGGTGCTGCTTTCGACTCGCGGGTCGGGTACCCTTCGCCACGACTGTAGTTTGCGCTGCAGTTCGAACCATCTACAAGAACAGATTCTCACTCGTTACAATGAGTGCGGTTGGTACGTTAACCCCCTTAGTGAATATTTTCTCTGCGGAATCAGATACCAACCAACTATCACCAAAGTATGCTTTATATCGGCCAAGTCCCACTGACCATGTAATAAGTAGCATGATGATTGCATTGAGCAAGAAACTCTGAGTCTGTAAACATCCGTTGCACCTTTTGTGTGTACTAGTGCTCCACATTATTGTGTTGAGCCCTCTCCGCTGGCAGAAGGAAGTTTTCCTCCTTGTAAACCCCTTTAGTGAATGTGATATCCCCTGGCGGAACGTGGTCTATACAACCGTTTCCAGGTCCGCTTACAAGATAATTCGTCGGCAATTCTCTTCTTCTAATAATCTTTCACTTTGAATTTCATTGTATTGTAGAGAAAGATTATCAGAACAGGAGAATTCAAAGAGCACAAAAATAGCTGCTTTGCTATGAACTATTCTGCTGCCCAATGAAATCGCCTCGATTCCCTCATTTTTCTTCACTGCACCAGTAATCGTCTCGGTGTTCACATGTCCATAACTGAACAGGACTCGGAGGTTCTTGACTCTGGCGACAAAATCTCTTTGAGCAGCGCTACATGCCCTGCCCCATGGCATGTGGCACTCGACTTTCAGCACACTCTCTGCCTCTAGGTGTGGCACTCGAACACTTTCAGCAATTGCGAACGCCGTATGGTATGTGGTTTGTTCTAAGCTTACACGCAATACCCGTGAACAATGGGTGTTTTGAGAGCATAGGAATGGATAAAATATTCTACGTTTTCCTTTTAACACACAGCCAAGTTCCATATATGACCTGCTACATCTGTAGACTGGTGAAGGCGCTGCGTCCAATTTCGTAATGCAGTTCGGAACGGGGTGCAGGTTCGGGTGTGTAAGTGTGAGTGTAGGTGGGGGTGGTTATTATAGTTAGATTTAAACCTAAGGGGACGGCGGTACTCCACTTCCTGAAACGGTTCTGTTTGTATGGGTGAGTACCCAACAAGATGTTACTCGATGAGTTAATGACAAAATTTATGATGTCATTCCAGATTGCATTATGTCATTCCAGGTTGCATTATGTCATTCCAGATTGCATTATGTCATTCCAGATTGCATTATGTCATTCCAGATTGCATTTTGTCATTCCAGATTGTATGATTTGTATCCACCACATGCAGTGTTGCTTGCAGGAAACCAAACAACAGAAACGCCTGACAAGCTGACGGCGGCATTCACCACTACCCAACTAGCACTCGGTGGTATTGCGGTATTCAGCATGTTCTTGATGATAGTGCTTGTCCTCCGGATCCGTTCCCTTGTGACTGCCAAGCGACGACGGGAAAGTCTCAAAAATCAAAAACTTTCGACCAAATCAAGGGATTTTGATTGTGTGCTTGTACTATCACCCAGCGGTAAGTTTATGCTGAACATGCAACCTGTACCATTATCTTAGCTATAGGCTACAATATCTACCTTCACTGATGAGAGTTTCATACTCGAAACAGCTACATGTATATGAAGGAATTCAGTACCAACAGCTGTGTCGCTTTCCCGATGGTGTGCTCTGCCGACGTATCGAGGTCGGCTGGAAAGCGCAGTCATGGTGTGTTAGTGGTTGAGAAATCTCTACATGGCAGTCATGGCGCGTTAGTGGTTGAGAAATCTATACAGAGCTGAATACTGCTGTTTACCTCCTTGATAGAACTTGTATTTTGATATAAGATTGAATACCAAACCCTGCAGCAATCGTCTATTCGACAGTGTTACATCCTTAGAAACAGAGTGCTTGACTTGCTTGGGATTATTTACGGCCATGTCTGATTGAAAGCCGCATCATATCTTGCAATCGTCAGGTAGGAAATATTCAGCGTGACTCCGGCAGGCTGTTTACCTTACAGGAGCCCCGATAGGAGGTGCATGTGAGCACGTCGGCAAATGAATGAAAGATACATGGTGGACTGATAAGCATTTCGGGACCTGGTGTCATCAAACACACGTCTGTAGGTCGAACGAGCAGGGTGATTTGACTTACGGGAATTGTTTGGAAATGTGCCTTGCGTGGAATAATAATGATGCAATTATGCAATGATGCTTGATAAAAAGAACTAGTAACTGGCTTACTCTTTTGCAAATAGTACAGGTGATCACTGTCATCTGTGGGTGTGTGCGTGTATTTTTGTGAACGGTTGTATGTGTGTGTGTGCCTGTATTTTTGTGAACGGTTGTATGTGTGTGTGTGCGTGTATTTTTGTGAACGGTTGTATGTGTGTGTGTGTGTGCATGTGTGTGTATGGTGTATTTTGTGAACGGTTGTATGTGTGTGTGTGTGCACGTGTGTGCGTGTACTTCTGTGTGTACTTGTGTGTACGTGTATATAATTATAATGTGTGTATCAACACCGATAACATGATCTTCTCGGCACCCTGCTTCCAGGCAGTAGGGCCAGTTGATAGCTCTCTGCCGCCTTGTCACCATCATCATCTTTGCACCGCGCATCTCACTACCTGGGCCAGCTCGGTTTTATCACCTTTATCACCTTGGTACCGCGACCCTTACTGGCTAGGACACTGTATCGGATATGAGTTGACAGCGCCCCTAGCGCTTTCTGTTATCCTTGTCCCGCCATACTGGGCTATAAATAGTGGGTTATTTTTCTTGATGTTCATATCACCTGATGAGTGCCTGAGATGGCATGAAACTTTAAGTTGTGACTGATCAAGCCATCTGTTGTTCTGACTAGTGTGTAATTATAATGTGTGTGTGTGCATGTGTGTGTGTGTGTGTGTGTGTGTGTCGCTAGTTGCTGCTTCCAGCATTGTCAACGCTGCAATCGCTGCTTCAAGTCCCGGGCTGGTTTTAACCGCCATAACTGCAACCGTGGAAAACGTCTTGCTGCAGCCGATAGGGAATCACTGCCGCTGATCTGCATGCATTGCCCGAAACGTTTCCGACGACAGCAAGATTTGACGAGGCACCAGAAGTCCTGCCAATGACGGTGCACTCCAAACTCTGGCCCCCTCCGGGGGTGACATTGCCCAATGGGCAGTCATGCTATAGTAGTAGTAGTAGTGTGTGTGTGTGTGTGTGTGTGTGTGTGTGTGTGTGTGTATTTGTGTGCATGTGTGTATCTCTGTTTTCTCCACAGGTGTAGACTCTAGTTGAAATGATGAGACTAAGTAAGTTCTTGCCTGTTTTATAAATCAGTTTTCCAAGGCATTCTCAATCAACTGTAGTGTCATGAGTATTGTAAAGAGTACATACGCCTCCTGCATATACAATAAATAAATAAATTTAAATTTCACGGTTCGCGTGAGACTCGGCTGGAAGCCGAGTTTTCCACATCCGCCGTGGGAACGCCACCACCCTCTAGGATCAAAGGCGCAGATGCAGCGCCTAAACGGTGGGAGCTGCATATACAATGTACCCTCCGTAATTAGAGAAGCCGACACTGAAATTTGCGAGTTTCTGAATATGCCAAATTTGGAAATCTCACTCTAAACAGACTAGATTGTTTCAACGACAGCGTTGATGCTGCTTTACAAAATGGAAAGTTATTATTTTTTTAGTCGATACATACCAAACGTGGCTGCTCATTCACGAGCAAGAACAGTCCTGGTATTAGGTCATAATGTTTACATCTCCCAAAACATCTGTAGTGCAGCACTGGAAAACTCGTTTAAAAGTGCCAAAAAGAAAATTTGTGATAAGGATACAAAATGAAAGCTGAAAATTGACCGAAAATTGATTTGGCACATTTTGAATTCCAGCTGTTTTAAAATATTTAGAAAAGAAAATGTCCAAACTCCTCAAACGTCAAGTGTGGTCATTATCGTTTTCATTCTGTTACCGCTGTACATCTTTACTAGAATGGCCGTGATGAACCAAAAGGAGTTGGACGTTGAAGACGTTCTGAGCAGCGGTGGTGACCTCCAGGGCAGCTTGTCCAGTCAAGCCAACAGCCAGGTACACGTGTGTGCTTTTGATCCGGAGGAGACTTGCCGCCAGGACCAGCTACAGTGTGCGCAAAGTGTTGGTGATGATGGTTAGTGTTCTTATTTTCTTCTACATGTATTTCTTCCGCGTTCCTGGTGTTGGCGTGGAGATTTCTACTTTGATACTATGATGAGTTGGCCAAACAGCTACAGTGTGCTCATTGGGCAATAACGTAGTTTGTACTCCCAACACATGGCAGCTGGGTATGGGTGTGTAGGTTGTTGCACAGTGCATTGCCACCGGTTGGGTATGGTTGTGTATGGTGTTGACCAGTGCATTGTCACCATCTGGGCAAGGTTGTGTAGGGTGTTGAACAGAGTGTTGCTGTCACACGCACGCACGTATGCACGAACGCACACACACACACAAGCGCACAGACACATGCATACACGTGGACTTGTTGCTCGCTGCCAAAACTGACCACGTGGGTCTCCCCGGGAGAGGAGAGAGAGACTCAAAAGGAATCTTGGAAAGATGACTCAATTGGCTATTGAACCGTCCAACAGCCGACACCCCCTGAAATCCCCAAAAGTCTGAGTGGACTTGAAAATGATCCCACTTACGGGCTCACCACACCTCAGTAAGTGGGTGAGGTCAGGGTGCAGAAAAAGGATTGACGGCATCAGGGTATCCGTCCCGGGATCCAAATGCAGTTACCACTGCCCCCAGTGAAGGTAATAGTTGCTACTAGTGTGGGTGGTTAAATCAGAGTGGATCTGATATAGGCTTCACTAGCACCATTGATTACACTCGAGATAATCTAGCCAGAAGCAGTCCATGGTTAACAGGTATGTATACTTCAAATAGACAGTATACGAACCCTGGAACCAACAAAGGTGGCAGGTACAACATAACACCTTCATGCGACCGAGCCCGTTGGCAACAGACCCGACACAATCAGGCATACGTGTACCCATCAACCGAACTAGCTGGCACACACACACACACACACACACACGCACGCACACACACAACAACAACCTCTTCTGCGGGTACAGCAGCAACAGCAAGACAATTATAATTCTCTAACATAGTACACTTTTGCCTGGACCAGACGTTCTTTGTCTGCCGCTCAACCAGCTACATTAATGATACCATTGTTCCATTCACATTCTCATGTGTGTTTCATTCTGCACAGACAGGAGTACCTGTACCTCCCTTGAATCAGAGTACATCTGCGAGACGTTATGAAAGTGGCGTCATGAAAGGGGATTTACTGATATCTTCGCTTCAAATCACCCCTAATTGGCTAAGTGCTAGTTGTCGCGATTATCGCGATGAAATACATGAAAATGAATTCTGAATGAACCTATTGCTGTGCAAATCTCTGTACACGTTGCTGCGCATATTGCTGTGCACGTTGCTGCGCTTATCTCTGTACACGTAGCTGTGCTTATCTCTGCATAAGTCGTTCCTCTGCATAGCTCTGTACACGTTACTGTGCATAGCTCTGTACACGTTACTGTGCATAGCTCTGTACACGTTGCTGTGCATAGCTCTGTACACGTTGCTGTGCTTATCTCTGTACGCGTTGCTGTGCTTATCTCTGTACACGTTGCTGTGCTTATCTCTGTACACGTCGTTGCATTACTTGCAATGCGTATTGATGTGCACGTTGGTGTGCAGACTGCTGTACATGCGGTTTTACAGAGGTCCTACATTGTATACTGCCGTGTTTACTCATTCGCTCTTCTGTCATTCAAGACGTTTTGTCACTCGAAAGACTTGCCAGAATGCACCACACCCTGGTCAATCCACACACGGTGTTTTTGGGGAATTCGCAGCTCGCCAGTTGAGCTTGGATTGGCCGATGACATGCTGTCTCCTGGTGATGAAGATCAGGGCAATCGACCTGTGCAATTGCTTCATTGTAGAGCAGTGTCTACAGTTCTTGCAAGGGAAATCCAACCCGATTAATGATGTAGCATCGCATCCGAGTGCATAGAACAGTATGTGTAGAGCTAGGGCTCCGTAGCGCCCGCACTATTTTATTCCTGAGGTTGGATTTCTCTGGCCAGCACTGTACATGGTGGATGTGGCATGAAAAGCATTGGTGATAGTCCATCAGACGGCCCCGAAGGGGTGGGGGAGGGGAGGGGGGGGGGGCGGGGAGAGGAGGGGAACCAGGCTCGATCTACAGGAAAAAATGCTGACTTTATCCTTCTGGCGAGGTCAAGAATTAGTACTCAATCGCATCACACGACCTGAAATACTGCAATTCCAATCGCACAATCCCCATTGCATTAAGGAAATAAGTAGATCCGTGCTTCATGATTGTGTCTTTTGTGCGAACTTTGCTGCTAATGCTACGGCGCAGAGTTCTCTTACTCTCCCCCCCCCCCACTCATGGTGCATTTCGGTAGCCATGACGTCGTGTGACGCTAGGTTGGCGGAGCTCCCCAAACTACCTCACCACCACTGCCCCGACTCCTACAGTGTCTGGCTTCACTTGTGGCTTCACGTTCTTCATCTCATGTTTGGCATTGAAATGGTC